TCAAGTCAAAACTGAATTAAAATTTGTTTTGAAGGAATACCACACGTGTTAAAAAAGGAAGTCAATGAACTCATAGGTAAATAGTGTATAGAGGAAAAGACCTTCAAGATTCTATTATGAATTTAATTTTCTAATAAGAGAGAAATACGTTTTATTAAGAAAACAAATATCTTCTTTCTTATTAATTGTAGAATCGTTACTTAAAATATGTATCATTTTGGAAATAGAGCGTTTTTTATAATTTTTTTCACGATCAAGTATAATGGTATTCTTCCAATCCAAGTCATGATCAAAATTTAGTTGATGTGCACGAACCACAGATTTATCGTTTTTATTATTTTTATGTTCATTGATACGTGTATTCAATGAACGTTTTGTTTGGCCAATATAATTTGCAGGGCAACTCTTACAATTAAATTTGTAAACAACATTCGTTTCTTGACACTTTTCGGTTTTATCTTTACCGAGTTTTGTTACAGATTTTAGATTTTTATTAACAATCGGAATAGGATGAATGTTATGTGGTTTAATAATTTTTGACAACTGAGCAAAATCAGAATTGTTAAACGGTAAACAAATTTTAGGGATTTGTTTATAAACCAGGGATCGTGTTTTTTTGGAATTCGAGTCTTTATTTTTAAATTTAATTTTGTTTAAACGGATTTTAATATATTTTTTATAAAAAAGAGGGGGGTAATCGTTATTTATCAAAATTGTTTCTACTTTTGATAAGTTGTCCTTACGAAACGAATGGTGAGAAAGAAGAATTGCTCTGTCAACGATATTGTATACAATGTTGATTTTTTGTTGAATTGGATGATTTGAGAAGTAATTGATAATTCTACCTGAAGATGTTGGTTTTTGGTACCAGTTATTTATTAATTTATTGTTTTTAACATTTAAAGTAATATCTAGAAAATTAATTTTATTATCCATTTGTAATTCATGAGTAAACTGTAAGTTATTATTGTAAGAATTAAAAATGTTGATGACCAAGTCGATATGGTTCTTATGAACGCAAATGATCGTGTCATCAACATATCTATAGTAAAATAATGGAATACAATTATATTGAGATTTTAAGATGTTAAGACAATCACATTCCAAATCATCCATTACAATATCGGCGAAAAGTGGTGAAATGGGAGAACCCATAGGAGTGCCATCAATTTGTTTATAGTATTTTTTATCAAAAACAAAAAACGTTTTATTAAAAATAAATTTTGTACATTTTTCTATTTCGGAGAAAGGCATTTTACAATTTGACAAAGATGTAATTCTCCGTTCAAGGCCTTCAATGACTAAACTGAGAGGAATTTTAGTAAACAATGATTTTACATCAAGAGACATTAGAACATAATAGTCAGGAATAGTTAATTTATCAAGTTTTTCAATAAGATCGAAACTATTGTTAATATGAGAATTTGGGACTTTAATGTTGTTTTTCAGTTCATTATACAAAACTTTTGCTGAAAAATGAGTTGGGCTATTTATAAGAGAAACTATTGGACGAAAAGGAACATCTTCTTTATGGATTTTTGGAAGGCAGTAAAACTTTGGTAAAACTGTATCTGTTAAAGTTAATTGATTATTATGGTATTTATATTGAAGAAAATCATTGTCATTTAACTTTTTAAGAATTTTTGAAGTATTCTCTTTAAGATCAGACAATGGGTTTTTCGTAAGTCTAGTATATGTTGATGAATCAGAAAGGAGATCATTTACTTTTTTATAGTAAACAGATTTATAAAGCCAAACTGTAGAATTACCCTTATTGGCTACAGTGAACATTATGTCTGGATTTTGTTTTAAGTATCCTTTAGTAATTTTAACTTTTTTGCAATGTCCTGATCCTCTTTAATTACATGTGGAACTTTATTTAAATTAGTAAAGAAATGGTGTGTGATTTTGTCTCTAATTTGGTTCTTTATGTCATTTTTGATTTCAAGACTGTTAATTGTAGTTTCTAATTTTGTTATAATTTCAAAAACATTATTTTTAGGTAAACCACTGTTAAAGCTGTGATTAGGTCCTAGTGAAATAATATCAACCACGTCTTTTGGTAAGATTTCGTTAGTAAGATTTTTTTATCAGACCTTTGACAGATTGGACTAGTTTTGAATAAAATAAGATTAAACTTTTTAAAAAATTTTGATTTGAGTTTTTTACGGATTGAAAAAAATTTTTTTGCGAAAATTCAAAGAAATTTTTAATGGTATTGTTATCAAGAGTTGAATTGTTAATAATATATTTGATTTTTTCAAGTTTTTTATTCAAAAATTCAATATTAAAATGTATGTCTATTATTTCTATTTTGAATAATTTAAAAATAAATTGGTTTTTTGTGAAGGTTAAATTTTTTTTACATGAAGAACTATAAAAATTCAAGTGGTTGAGTCGCTTACTGATATTGAAAATGTGTTGTGGAACAATGTCATGACTTCAACAACTTAAGTAAAATTGTCGCTTAGATAGAGAGACCGTCAAACGTCGTTGTGTATTGGTCCAATCTTTGAGTAGTTTTTCGATGTTTTTTCCAAATTTAGATTTGATATGTTTGAAAAAACTTGGTGTTGTCGTGGTGAAAGAGTCCATAATAGATCCAAGACTCAGTGTATTTTAAAAATGAATGAGAAATTCCCTTTCAAGTGTATATTTTGACATGAAGTAAATTCGATCAATGGAAGGTAAAGAAAAACACATAAAACAGATTTATGTTATTTTGTTAAGTTGCGACGTTTCGATGGTTTAGTTTTCCATCTTTTTCAGGCTAATTTATTAAATAAAACACCAAATTAATAAATACACAAAATTAAACACATAAATTAAAACACGGAATAATAATAATACCTGAATATTTAAAATATTACTACATTGCAACTAGTCAAAGTTAGAATCCATTTTTAAATTATCGTTAAAAATTAAAAAGTAAAACACTACAAAAAATTAGATACGCGACAATTTTCGTCATTTCGATGCGAACATCAAAGTCAAAACTGAATTAAAATTTGTTTTGGAGGAATACCACACGTGTTAAAAAAGAAAGTCAATGAACTCATAGGTAAATAGTGTATAGAGGAAAAGACCTTCAAGATTCTAATATGAATTTAATTTTCTAATAAGAGGGAAATACGTTTTATATAAAAAAATTTAACCTTCACAAAAAACCAATTTATTAGAGAAGGTATTAAAAATACATTCAAATACTTTTTAGCGGTAATAACAATTATGGTCACTGAATTTGTGTCTATTACGATAGAGTAAGGCTTCATATTTTTGATAGCCTTAATGAGGGGTGTTTAAATGTGCCTCTAATAAAATATTTAATTAGATTGTTCCCTTTTAACCCAACAATAGTTTTTGAAGCTGTTGATCAACAACCTTTTGGTAGTGTTAAGTGTGAAGTATATGCAATAGCATTTGCAACATCTATATTATTTAACGTAATGCCAAACCGTGTAAATTATGAAACTGATAATAACAAAATGAGAAACCATTTTAAGTCAATGTTTAATAAAAATATTCGCTTAATTCATTTTCCGACAGTAAGAACATCTCACAATAGGAATTCGATAATAGAGAATGATTAGAACCGTCTTTTCATAAATTGAACTCAGGAACATAAAAATTATATTTTTAGTAATTATATTTCCAGTAATAATATTAACAGAGTTCTATTAACACAAGATTTAAAAATTAAACATTCTCTAAATGACACTAGTGAAAAGAAAATAATTCGTACAACTTATAATACTGTGAACAAAATTTCACCACATGAATATTTAACAATGAAAAATTTTCTAAGTAAAGAAAATGATAAAAAGATAAATCGAGAATTTAAAGAGAAGGGAAGAAAAAGGAAGGCAAGGCGCGAAGTTACATATGAGCAGAAAATAATAAGGCAGGAGAATGAGAGATTGAGAAAACGTAATCGTAATAAAACATAAATAAAAAAGAAAGAGCGCAAAAAAAAGAAATTATCTATAAAAACTGAAGATGGAAAGAAAATATGCAAGGATAAAATTTGGCATGTAGGAAAAGAAAATATCAATGGAAACTCAAGATGAAAAGAAATTGCGTCAAGAAAATAATTTGTCATGTAAGAAGGAAAAATTTTCTACGGCAACGGAAGATGAAAAGAATGTGTGAAGAAAAGAATTTGACATGTAAAAACGATAATCGGAATAAAAAAAGTGCAGGAGTTGCAATAATGTCTTTTGAAGATTTCGATGAAACTAAAGTTCCACAGAATTATTTAGGTTTAATAAATGTAGAATGTAAGTTTTGTAATGCGTTACATTTTTTGTGTGAAAGACCGTCACATAGATACATTCTTGAGGAATGTCCCCGTGAAGAGGACATTATGATATAGCCAGAATGTCACAAAAATATTCCCGGTTGATATCAGCTTGACATTCAAGCAATATTCCGTGCTACTTGGGTGGTAGATCCAATATAAAGAAATTTTTTTTTACATTTCTAATATTAAATTTTTTTGAAAGAAAATGAATAAAAAATATGGTTAATGCACACTAGCAACGTAGTCGGCCGCTTGCGGACGACAAAGTTGCTAGTTAAATATAATATTTATGTATTAAATTAATACATTTTCCTAAAAAAAATTTAATATTAATATTACTCATTAAATTTATTTTAACAAATTTTTATATTTTTATAAAATATACTCATTTATTTATTAATTTAATTTAAAAAAATTTTTTATTATAAATTATATGATAATTATCATAAAATCAATTTTACCTAATTAATAAAAATTTTTAAACTATCTATTATATATAAAATAAATTAATTAACACCAATTACATTTAAAAATATATTTTATTCAAATTACATATATTTATTTTACATTTAATGAAACATTTTTATAAAAAAAATTAAATTTTATAATTATTTATTTATTTTATTTTTATTTTAACACTTTATTAAAAAAATTAACTTTTAAAACCTTAAATTTTATTCTTAAAATTATTATCCTCCATTTTTAAAATTGTCATCATCAGCTTCAATTAATATTTAAATTGTTTTATTCAATTTCTTAGAAATCTCATTATCATCTTCAGCTTTTCTTTTTTGAATTGACTTATTTCCACTTATAATTTTACTCAAAGCCATTTTCTCCAAATTAATTTGCAAAATATGCTTTTCCGATGAAACAGATAAATAACTCTTGTTGCCTGGAATTAAAAATTTATTAATATTTTTTTTAATTTATTTTAATTTAAATATTTAATTTTGTTTTCAATTTAAGATTAATTAATTAATTAATTAAAAAATTTATTTTAAATATTACAAATAAATAACAATTCATTTAATTATATTTACCCCTCCGTGTTCTCATATATCCTGAAATTTCCAAAGAATTTCCTCTTTTATATTTTTTCAAATTCTCAAAATCAGAAATATTTTGCACTCTTACTTCCAAACAATATTCTCTATCAGTAATCGATGCAAGCAAAAAATCACAAATATCTTCCTTAAATTTATCAATTTTTTGGAATTGAGATCTTAAATATCCTTGAATTTCTGAAATTAATATAAATTAAAATTAATATTAATTTCTAAATATTTAAAATATATATATATATTATTTATAATATTAATTATAAAATAATAATAAAATATAATTACTTATAAATCCATAAGAATTTGCAAGATCTCCAAAATTCACCAAAGTAATCTCTCTTTTAACAACCTCGCCATTCAATGTTAATGGAATGCATGTGATTTTACTGCTACTATTTAAAGTAAACTCAAAATCTGCAGTTCCAATATTCCATTCTCTGTTTAATTGGATTTTCGCAAAACCTCCATCTATCATAATTTTCTGTAAATAAATAAAATTTAACAAATAAATCATATTCAATATTATAAAAAATAATAAAAAAATAATACAATTTTTTTTATTTCTTATTTATCTTTAATGGTAATTAATAATAATAATAAATACATAATATATAAATATTAATAATATAAATACATAATAAATACATTATATATTATAATTAATATTAAAACAAACAATCAATATTCTCCAGTAAATATAATTTTACAATTATTTTATTAACTTCCAAAAAAAATTATTTTAAAATAATATAATATAAAAATATTTATAAAATATAAATTTTAATAAAATAGTACAATATTTCTTACATAACACAGGTTTACAAATTTCAAATTTTTTTTTGTCACTCGAACAAAACATTTTTTTTCGATTAATATGTGTTTTTTGAGTAAGAAAATCATATTTTAAATATTTTTCCCTCGTGCAATTTTTTTGTAACAGCAAATTATGCATTTGCCAGGTGTGACGTCACTTAAAGTTACCGGTAGAGAAAGCAGTTAATCCAAATGTAAAAAATAAATCACTATTTGAAAGATAATTAAATTACCTTTCAAACCATTGGTCAACCAATAAAATCCATTCAAAATTGTCAGAGTTACAGTCGATCAAAGTTCAAATTTCAAGCAAATTTTAAAGATTTTTAGAGATTCGACTACCTTTCGCTAATTTTTTCAAAGTCAAACAATTAAAAAATGGCAAGTTTTAAATTTTTTATTAATAATATATTTAATAACGAAACTTTTAAGCCTTTATAGACCTCGATCGGATAAAAAATGACAATTCTACACTACATTTATTGAACAAAGTACTTTTTCACTTTTAGTATATTTTCAAGTGATTTCGATCTATATCAGTTTTGTATAAAACTAAGTTAAGCAAAGCACACCAAAATGAGTACTGGGGGGTTTTCGTGGTCGCTGATTACGAATCTGAGGTCTGTTTTTCAAAATTCATTTCTAATTATTAAAATTTTGTCCGCTATATTGGATACGCCATTTTGAATTTTGAAAAACTGACCTCGAATTCGTAATCAGGGACCCCGAAAATCCCCGAGTACTCATGTTAGTGAGCTTCGCTTAACTTAATTTTATACAAAACTGATATAGATCGAAATCACTTGAAAATATATTAAAAGTGAAAAAGTACTTTGTTTAATAAAATGTAGTGTAGAATTGTCATTTCTTATCCGATCGAGGTCTATAAAGGCTTAAAAGTTTCGTTATTAAATATATTATTAATAAAAAATTTAAAACTTGCCTTTTTTTGATTGTTTGACTTTGAAAAAATTAGCGAAAGTTAGTCGAATGTCTAAAAATCATTAAAATTTGCTTGAAATTTGAACTTTGATCGACTGAAACACTGACAATTTTGAATGGATTTTATTGGTTGACTAATGGTTTGAAAGGTAATTTAATTATCTTTCAAATGGTGATTTATTTTTTACATTTGGATTAACTGCTTTCTCTAACGGTGACTTTAAGTGACGTCATACCTGGAAAATGCATAATTTGCTGATATAAAAAAATTGCACGAGGGAAAAAAATTTAAAATATAATTTTCTTACACAAAAAACACATATTAATCGAAAAAAATATGTTTTGTTCGAGTGACAATTTTACTGTAAACCTGTGTAATCCAACATAATTTTCCCTTGAAATTTTTCCATTTTTTTTCCATACAACAATTTGAATCCTACTTATAAAAAATCTCCATCTTTTCTTTTGCTTTCCAAATTCACCAACTAATCTTGGATCTTCGATAGCATCAACAATTCCAATCAAAATGCTAAACAAAAATTAAAAAAAAATATTTAAAATAAATTACAATTATTTAAAATAATATAAATAAAATATAATAGAAATACTTACGTTGTAACATCTCTATCTTTTATTCTCTTTAATTCTTCATTACTCGTAAAGGGTAAATCGGAAATGTCTTCCTCTTCTTCAAAATTATCATTTTTTGATCAAGATTGTCTTAAGATAATATAAATTATTATAAATATACACGGAAAAATTTTTGGTACATCAGATGCGCAATCTACGGTAGAACTGTTGTACTATGGGTTGAGGGCAACTGTCATCCTGATTTGGCGCGTCAGAAGCGCCGTATGGGACATCAGACACACTGTAGGGGACATAGGTTGCACCAAACCGGGATAACTGATGTCCGTTTTTAAAGTACAAAAATTTTTTAACTAACCAGTACAATCGGTGTACCAAAATTTTTTCAGTGTATTAATAAAATAATTTAAAAACAAAAAAATTAATAATATTTTTTTATAATAAAATAATTTTTTATTTTAATTTTTTTATTATATTATTTAAAAAAATTAAATTTTATCATTTTTAAAAATATAATTTTTTTAAAAATTATTAAAATTAATTATTAAAAAATTTATTTTTATAATAAAAATCATAATAAATATCATAAATTCTTACAAATGATTATTAAATTTTTAAAATTATAAAAAATAAACAAATTAAAAAAAAATTAAATAATTTTATTTTAATATTATTTAAATAAATTTTTTAGAAAATTAATTTAAAATTATTTTATACATTTTCATATAATTAACATTTAAAATAAACAGATTTTTTTATAATTTATTATTAATCATAAACCAATTTTTCTTAAAAATAATAAATTATAAAAAATAAGACATAAAAAATATTTTTATTTATTAAATCGGCTTAAAATAAAAAGATTTTTTACTTTGAATACTCATTATAAAAAATAATAATTATAAAATAATTTATAAAATATTTTTTAAAAATCATGAATATCAATTTCTTAAATTGCAAACAAATTAAAAATTTTTTATTTAAACTAATAAATAAAATTTTAATAACTTTTTTAAAATAAAATTTATCACATATATATTATAAATAATAAAATATATAAATTAAAATATAAAATATATTAAACAATTAATAAAATTACCTGAGTCAGACATTTTTCACCAAACGAAAATTATTTAAAAAATCTCTATGAGAATAAGTGTATCCTTCAGTTTGAAAAAAAATAAATGCACTATTCACCCTCTTAAAGTCAACTGATGCTAATAGACCCTGGACAAATGTGTATTGGTCCATCGTCTTCCAAAACATTGCTCTTTCTTCTCCCACTAATTTCCTTTAGAGAATTTTAGCTATAGTAAATCTACACGGTGCGCGGGAACGAGCTTAGAAATTGACAAAAATGACGACAAAATCTGATAGTGCCATCTTTTTTATCACTTAAAATTATGTAAGAAAATGTTTTTCCCAAAATCTAAATCGCAGAGTTTCGCGTTTTTTAAATCACTTTGTAAAAAAAATAACTTTTTAACACTAAATCTTTTTTAATGCTTTAAACTTCTTTATATATAGATGATTAAGATTAATTATTGTTATTTTAGCATAAATTATGAGTTTGGTCATAAAATACAAAAGTTAAACTTTTTGTAGATGACAAAAGAGATCATGAGCTACTGCTCAAATTTAAACACCGCGTGACATGGTAATTTACTAGTAGTCCAGTCAAGTTAATCTAAAAACAAGGCATATCATGTTTTAGCTCAGGACCTCAATTTTTTTCCCTTAAACCCTTCATTTTGGGGTAAAAATAAAGTACCTAAATTTGGTACTTCGAACTGCTACCGGAACCTAAAATTTTTCTTGAGAAATAGGTGCAAAAATTCAGTTTTTCAAATTGCCGCCTTTCATGACATTTTAGCATAAAAATACTTATTATAAAAAAGAAAGTGTGTCAAATTCTGAGTAATTTGATAAAAAATAAATCCTGTAGCTCAAAAATTAAGCGAGATACAGCTTCCGTAAAAAACACATTTTTTCGAGATTTTAGCTAAAATGAGGTATTTTTCATTTTTTCGAATATACCTTTGAAACAAATAATTTTTTGAAAAAATTGCCCAACGGGAAAGTTAAAGCTGACAAAATTCCTAACAATTTGCAAAAAAGAACAATGCAATAACTCTGGTAGTTTCCGAGATACAGTCTCTCAAATATGACCCTTTTGAAATTTTACATAGAATCTCATTTTATTACCATTGTATGTAAAATCTCAAAAGGTCAACTTTGAGAGACTGTATATCGGAAACTATCAGAGCTATTGCATTGTACTTTTTTGTAAATTGTCAGAAATTTTGTCAGCTTTTATGATAAAATGTCATGAAAGGCGGCAATTTGAAAAACTGAATTTTTGCACCTATTTCTCAAGAAAAATTTTAGGTTCCGGTAGCAGTTCGAAGTACCAAATTTAGGTACTTTATTTTTACCCCAAAATGAAGGGTTTAAGGGAAAAAAATTGAGGTCCTGAGCTAAAACATGATATGCCTTGTTTTTAGATTAACTTGACTGGACTACTAGTAAATTACCATGTCACGCGGTGTTTAAATTTGAGCAGTAGCTCATGATCTCTTTTGTCATCTACAAAAAGTTTAACTTTTGTATTTTATGACCAAACTCATAATTTATGCTAAAATAACAATAATTAATCTTAATCATCTATATATAAAAAAGTTTAAAGCATTAAAAAAGATTTAGTGTTAAAAATTATTTTTTTTACAAAGTGATTTAAAAAACGCGAAACTCTGCGATTTAAATTTTGGGAAAAACATTTTCTTACATAATTTTAAGTGATAAAAAAGATGGCACTATCAGATTTTGTCGTCATTTTTGTCAATTTCTAAGCTCGTTCCCGCACACCGTGTCTATAGCTTTATAATATTATTAAAATTTTAACCGTTTTTTAAAAATTTTAAAAGTGTATCATTCTGATTAATAATTGCATTTAATATTATTTTTATCATATTAATTATTGTTCATAATCATAATGTAATTAATTTAAAAAAATAAAATAATTTTTTTAAATATTTTAAAAAATATAACATCAAAATTTAAAATAAAGAATATTATAATTTTTAAATATGAATTTTAAAAATAATATTTTTAATTTAATATATGACAAGAATTTAATAAAAAAATTTATATTTCAAAATTAATTAATAAATATTTTTATAAGTTTTATGTTATTTAAAAGAACAATCATGATTATCAATT